GCGCTATCGACATATTGATCGCAACGATATTGTTCTCGACGAACAGAACGAAAGAAAATATTCTGCGACGAATTGATCGCGACGAATTGATCGGTCACCATTACAATGGAAAATAATGGCAATAATTGCATGATAATGCAACAATCGGGTACATGGATGATCAGTTAATAAATCTTTTGAAAAACAAAAAGATAAACAATAGATTAATCCTTTACTCTCGAATGTCCACTGGCATGGACATGAATAGGAGAAAACGATATAATGGAAGCTAATAATCACATATAGTATCGCGCCAAGACGAGAGAGAGGCACGTATATGAAAAATCAGAATTTATTCTATAAAATGGATGTGCTCAATCAGAAAGGTTCACTAAACATTTCTATTAATACTCATATCTAATGTTTCCTGTTCAATTGTCGTAGACTAAATGAATCATAGAGGAGCCTGGGGACGACCGACTGAGCTCTCCAGCCTAGAATCGTGCCCCCGTCACTTCTATCAAGTGAACAAATGACTGAAAAGCATGAAGAAAATAAAATTTTCCTTAGAAATCTTTTTCTACTTGTAGGCAAAATATATTTCGGAAATATGTTCTATAATTTATGTCGCTGAGAATGTTTACTATTGAATTAAATGTCTTTTAGAAAAGTTCTAAAAGCTTGTCAGATAACAGATGCTAAGTTATTGAATGGAACCTGAAATACAGGTGTAACGAGACCAAGAGAATAATTGCTGAATGTCATCGTATAATTGTTTTTTGTAAAACCTTATCTCTTATGACTTCGAATTTTACTCTTCAAACTACTTCGTAGACGACATAATACATGTCATCGTTTATTTCATATCATAAGCATATGAACGAAATCAATACTCGATTTATATGATTATCTCTTTTACGATTTAAAGAAAAAAATACTTACTGACAAAAATCGATTTGGAAATCCATTGCTTTTACAGGTCGCATTCAAAAAACAGGATGACTAGTTGCCGTTCCATAATTATTTTCATCCTAAATTCTAGTTATACTCGGAAAGAAAAGCTTAAATTTCTTTTGATATCTGACGTTTTCTTTTTCAAGACTTGAATCAAATATAGAAGCATATTTTATCGATCATATTTCTTTTAATAAAAACCTCTCAATAAAAAGAAAAATTTTTTGTTTTTATTTAATTACTTTTAATGAAGTAACACTTAAAATTGATCTCCATAATGAAAGATAATTTTCATAAGTAATTATTTTTCCAATTGATAGAAGATATTTAAGTTTATCTTCTCATGTATCTGCTTCATCATTTTCTAATTGTTGTTGAATAGTTGATTTTAATGGATGTGAACAACAACGAATAACTGATTGAGTTACTAGAAAATAAAAAAAAACACACGATATTTATTTATTTTAATAAAATAAATAAATATTCAAAGAACATTATCAATTATGGATAAAAATCATTTATATCAATTTGGTTTTGTTTGTAAGGCTAAAATCATTTTAATTACAGACAAACATGTTGTTGCTTCTGGCTTTGGTTGATAACGTCGATAATAATCAATTGTCATCGAAGATTAAATGTTCAAGTAAACTAAGAAATTCTTCATCAATCTAATAAAAAAATAAATAAAAATTTTGGTGTTTATTTTTTTATTCTTACATTTGTCATTTCAATAATAATAGTTGAACTACTTTTCTTGCATGATAATTCTCATATATATTCCATGTTGAAATACAACGAAGTATTTTTCAGGATAAATTTTTTTGATTTTATTAATCAAATAAAAAAAAAGAATTGTTTATTGAACCTTTAACTAATGCATATCGATTTAAATTAGTTTGATCTTGTGTTTGTATTGCACGTGCTGCATAAATATAAATACGTTTTAAATCTAATTCATTTCGTATTCGTTGTTCATTATAATGTTTTTCATCTTCTTTTGTTCTACTTCGTAGTATAGGTGCTTGTGAATGAACTACATTCAAAATACAAAAAAAGAAAAGAATTAATGACAAACCAAAAAACAAAAAAACTTTATCAGATGTTAATGATGAAATAAAATTTACAAGATAATTAACAAGACTTTCTATTGTACCTGCCGCAATTAACATTTCAAATTTAGCATCTTTGACTAACTAAAACAAAATTTCTGAATATGTCTAAAAGAATGAAAGAGAAATATTATTTTTAATATGAAGTCTATCAGAAGGAACACATAGTTTTCAAGAGTTAGCCTTCGCCCTCATCTGGTCACCTGCTACAGATATCTGAATAGACGACGGAGTGTTTTGAGTCTAGGATAGGCTTCACAATTTTTATAAGGTTTGTAGAGAGAAGTTAAAAATAAGAGGAGAATAAATTGGACTCTTTTTATACTATTCACATGAAAAAAACAGTTAGTGCTTGAAAATTTCGATCTATGCTTTGCGCTATATAAAGTTGGTATGGTTGAGAAAAATTTGTAACTTCTTTCAAATGACATCTACTTAGATAAATACATCAATATTTGTTTTCATTGAAGTTCGATTCTTTGTGAAGGAATTTGCGATTTGCTCTACTGGAAAACAGAATAATGATGGAGTAATAGTGTTCACGAAACAAAACGAATGATACATTGTGGATTCATTTACTTTATTGAAAATATGTGCTTGATATCTCATCTTAGTCATTCAAGACGAAGAAAACCTTCGACAGTCTTTTGTTCATCCCGAAGACGGTAAAAAAAATGTAAAAAACATTCGATTTTTCAGTGAACGTCGCTTATAGATAGTCTCTGAGATAATACCGTTTTATTTATTATTTTATTCACTAGCGAGAACCCGTGGATACTGCACGATCTTTTTTTATCAATGAAAGAAGTCTTTTCTTTTAGGGTAAGGGGTTCTTAGGGATACAATCCAAATCTTTATTTCTGTTTTATAAAAACAGCTTATTTTATTAATTTT